GTAGAATCTTCTGAAATGTATTTACGTTTGCGCATCGTTGCCATTGTATTTAACATGACAGTAACACGAAGCATACGTCGAATAAAATCATTTTGACGACGTTCATCTTGATCTGTTATTTGTTCAAGTTCCTTTTTATTGCGCATGAATTGATCAAGCCAAATTTTTGAATTCCATTTATAACGAAAGATTGGATGACGAGAATCAAATTGTGTTATATCAGGTTTATGATTTTGCATTCGTGCGCCATACCAATTTTCGACATTAACCTCACTATTACCAGGATTATCGAGAGTTCTATATGGAAGTATACGTAACGTTAAACGCTCACCACTGATCATTACTTCAAAAGCACCAATCTTCAAACATTCATCATAAATACGTTTGTCATTTACTTCAACAACAAGATGTTCACCAATTAACTTGCGAACATCTTCTTTAATGGACTTCTTAAAGATTGGATGGTCAAATATTAAACGAAGTGGAAAATCAAGAGGAATCGGTTTAATAATAAGTTTACTAGAAATATTAGCTGTTTTGAATATTAATTGGCCATCGATGTTAATGAACTTCTGTTAGGTTATTCCTTTCAGAATCGTTTTGCATCCAATGGTTAATAGCCAAAGAAGAATGTAACTGCTACACATACTTTATTTCAGCAAATTAACAACTATATATAGTATATCTCAGCTACAGGAACATTCCTCTGGGAAACTGGGAAAAACAGCTATTGTACAAGAGAGAGAGTGAGAGAGAGAGAAGAATAGAAATGAAAAATACCCATGGGAAAGAGTGAACAGAAAGAGAAAAATAATACATCATAGAAAAACAGGACAGTGAATACATATAACAAAAGAACAGAAAGGGAAAATAACCATCGAGTGAAGAGAACATGTATATTTGAAAGATGACCATTGCTTATATAAATTTGGTTTATACTTCCTAACACCTCCCTTGCCACTAGATGAAGCGTCCCGCTCATCATTACAATAAAAATAATTAAAAAAAAAAGAAAGGAAAAAAAACGAAAAGCGAGACAATCCCAAAAATATTGAAACAATTCCCATAACATTGTATCCATCGGTATCGGATGATAGCTTTGTAGATCATAATGATCATGATAAATGTTGTTTGATGGTAATAATGCTGACAAAATCGATCAGAAGCTGCCACCATCTGACCAAATGATTTTGTCCAAAAAATTATTTCGGTGGAACTGGAAGAGAGAAACAGACCCGCATGACTGAACATAAAAGAGACATTCGAAATATGACTGCAAATTCGGGAGTAGCACAACACGTTCTACATTTCAATCATAAATTTGATTTTACAAAATGTGAAACTTTGTCTTTGGAATCCGACTGGCGAAGACGTGTGATAAAAGAAGCATTATTTACAAACGAAAGCCATGGACACTCTCTGAATGAAGTTAAACAGCGATTAAGAGTGTTGTAAATCACGAATTTTAAACTGCAGCTTCTTCCTTTTATTCGCTTGACATCATATGGTCTATTATTATTTTTTTTATCCTTTTCTTTCTTTCTTTCTTCTTCTTCCTTTTGCCGCCTCTTAATTATTACTATTGTTATTTTTTATTTTTTATTGTTGTTATAAGATCTTCTTCTCTTTTCTCCCTTTCTTTTTTATACTGCTAACCTACTTTTTATACA